TTCACCTGCTGAGGGCTATGGCCCTGTATTGTTTCTGTCATGGCCTTGAACTTAAAAAAAGCCTGAAGGTACTTGCTCTTCTGAGTAATCGCAGTGGTTGTACCTACTATGATTGTTAACAGTGGGAGATTGGTGATGAGCAAGACTCAGCAGAGGTCAATTAGCTGTATGTTTTTATTCTGTATCTTCTGTTTGCAAAAAATATAAACTTTATCTCATTATCAGAATTCTCAGCAGTCCTTCACTATAGAATTTCAGTAACCAGGCAGCTGCCACGGTCCTGCAGTAACTAGGTATGCATACCAGACTTGTGCATATAACTACTGCATTTTCTCCTCTAAACTTTGCTGGTTTAAACTAAGATGACTAGTTAAACACATCTTCCCTACCCCACAGATAATCTGTTGCTTCCTACAGCTGGGAAGAGTATGACCGATTTGTGTGTGTGTCTGTTATGCATGTAAATGTGTTATGTAAAGGAAAGCAGATGCTATAGGAAAGCAAACTATTGCTTTCCATAACAGTATGCTATAAACAAAATTTTTAAAGGTTTGTAAAATGCCTAATAAGCTCTTGTGCTAACACACCCAGGTTTCAGCTGATAATTCATCTTTTCCAAACTGTAACGTCAGTGGCTTGACAATCAAAACTTGAGTTTTCAGCAGTGTTAGGCTAAACTTAAGAACCAGTACATTTCTGGAGTACCAGAGTCTGGGATCTCAGTAGATTTTCTGGATGTCTTCCTGCACAGGCTGATTATCTAGTCCAAATTGTAGCTGCATCTGCAGGTTCAGAACTGGGCTTCTGCTGTGGCCTGTGTTGTAGAAGCCTTGTGCTGTTTCTGCTGTGGCTTAGGGCACTAGTGATAGTTGATTTTCGCATTTGGTATATAATGACCTTCCTCTAATTGACCATGATATTAATTGGGCTTGCCTTAATTATTTGTGTGTGAGACCTAAGTTTACTAGCACTCCATACTTTAATTGCTCTGCAGAGTTAAAACAAGCTGACTTTTTCTTGGATTTCTTGCAGGCTGGATAAAACAGTGGCTCAGCCTTGTTTGCTGTGGTTGTCCAGAGCTTCTGTTGCTCCTAGCTTTGTACAGTATCTGTTAGAGTGGGTGGAAAATTTCAACTCCGTAGAGGTGTTTAGTGCTATCAGGCTGAGAAGTAAAACTGCAGTTAGCAACCTCTTAGAGCTTGTTCGTATATCTTCTTATCCTTCAGGTACTATTTTTGCATACGGGCAGACTGGAACAGGCAAAACTTTTACGATGGAAGGGGTCCGAGCGGTTCCTGAGCTTAGAGGCATCATTCCTAATTCCTTTGCCCATATATTTGGTCACATTGCCAAGGCAGAGGGGGATACAAGGTAAGCAGCTTCTGTCTTTTTGTCTGTCCATCTGTAGTAAGAGCCTGACCTTGACAATGGCAAGTGAAAGGGTACCTCTGGCCCTAGCCAAAAGACTCCTACTTGGGCAGTTCTTGACGGGGTAGCAGGATTGTGTTGGTATATTGTTGTGGGTTTTTTGCACTCTGTGATTGTGTTTGCTGGACTCTAATAAATCTCTTATTAAGAAAGTTACCCAACTGTTTGCCTTCAGGTTTTTAGTTCGTGTGTCTTACCTGGAAATTTACAATGAAGAGGTGCGGGACTTGCTAGGAAAAGACCAGACACAGAGATTAGAGGTGAGCCTGCTCTTCTGAATGTGGTGTTTGTTTTCAATCGGTGAGCAATATTGTATTTTAAAGACCAGAGAATCACTTGAAGGGAAGTGAGAGGTCAGGCCTCTCAGCACATGTGCTATTGCCTTTAAGATATGGTAGCTGGATGTCACTACTGACATCTCTGCATCTTTTCTGCTTGGTCAGTTACGTAGTGAGAAACTGGCTGCTTCATCTGAGTCAATTCTACCCCAAGGGCCCCTTGGCAGTCTGTCTAGGAATTGGAGACTGAGATTTGAAGTCACTATTTGCCACCAAGGGAAACCAGTGGAATATTGTCCTGCCTGAGTTTTTGTTCCTTAGCTGCTCTGATTCAGAGTGTTGGACTGTTTTATGTGCAAACCAGAACCTGGAGGAGTAAATCACTGTACTATTACAGTACCACTGAAATTTGCTATCAGGGATCTCCTAAGGGTGCTCCATCTCAACTGTTTCTCTTTTAGGTTAAAGAGAGACCTGATGTGGGAGTTTATATCAAAGACCTTTCAGCTTATGTCGTAAACAATGCAGATGATATGGACAGAATCATGACTCTGGGCCACAAGAACCGTACGTAGCCTTGCTGTGGGCGGGTTTGTAGCTCGGGCAGAGCAAAGGTCTCCCCACAGTGAGAGCTCCTAGTCCTAATGCTGGAAAGATTGTTCAGCTGAGCGGAGCAAAAAGGGTATCCCCTCCCAAACCCCTTTTGTGCAGGGACAGGTAAAGAAGGCTGTGCCTCCCACATTGGCCAGTGCCAGTGGGGGAAACGGCAAAGGGGAGGATGCAATGAGGGCAGTCAGTGTTGTCAGAACTGCTAGTGTGTGTCTTGGTTCTTTTTCCCCTTCAGATCTGCTCAGGATGAACAACTAGCCCTGTGCTGTGAGTGGGAGATGGCTTATGTTTTCTGGAACACTTCTTAGTTAAGCTCAGATCCTTTTATGACCGAAAGTTCTGACTACTGTTGCTCTTGGCATGGATTGCTGTGTCCTTATTTCTCAATATACAGCTGTTTTCAGGGACCAGCTGTGAGTGCCTTGGGCTACTGATCTTTGTAGTCTTAAAGAAACAGATGAGAACTACTGCTGCTCTTGGGATGGGAGTCTGGTTGGCTTAGAGCTACAGCAGGCCGTAGCACTTCTGCTAGTCCAGGCTGGAGTTATGCTGCACCTTCAGTGCCCAAGAATACAGTTTGCTGCTGAGTCTGAGCATCCATCTTCCATCCTCTGAAAAACAGGGCTGGGTGAAGAGGTGGGGATAAGGCTCCTTTGAGAGCAGCAAGAGTGTTATGGAAGCATGTGATACCTTCTGAAGACAATATTGCTTTATCTCTCTATTAAAAGGTTCTGTTGGTGCCACAAACATGAATGAACACAGCTCTCGTTCACACGCCATCTTCACTATCACTATTGAGTGCAGTGAGAAGGGGGTGGATGGAAACATGCACGTGCGCATGGGCAAACTTCACCTTGTCGATCTTGCTGTAAGTAGGAACAGCCAGGTCTGTAATAACGCGTGGTGGGTATCGTTGCTCGTGTACACACTGTTGAAGGCACAGTAAAGGGCATGTCCCATATTTCATGGCTAAAGCCTGACTTTGCTTTGATGCTTGACTTCTGTGAAGTATCCACTAGGGGCCTTAAATCAGAGGTGTAACAGGAAGACCCTTTAGTGTAGCTAGAGCCTGTCCCAGTAAAAGGGTTCTCTTGCTTCTGTAAATTAATCATTAAATGGATAAATTACATTGGAAAGAGCTCTCTGGACAGCGGAACTGGGCCTTCATAAGAGGCTTTTTTAGAGGGTTGTGACCACACAGTTCATCACTTGCAGGTTCCCTCCAATGTATGTGTGCTGGTAAAATGTGCCTTTAGCCCAAGGTTTACACTGGAGTACTTCTGGAGAAGATGCAGGAAAGAGGAGAGTAAAGGCATTCAGTGTTTGAATGTTAACTTAATTTACATGATGTATGCTCAGGTTGTTGTATGAAACTTTAAAATAATTGCAGTGTTGCTTTTCTCTCTTGATCTGCTGATAGGAAAGGTTGGATGTGGTGCTTAGCAGCTCCAGCTGAGGTGCCTTGTAACTGCTGACTTGCTTCTCATTAAATTTTTGTTCATGGGGATGAAATCTCTATTTTCCCAGCTGTATTACTTTGAGCAATCCACAATTTGCTGGCATTGAAAGCTTCAGTTAAGACCTGTTAGACTTTTCTTTAATGTCTGAGGTGCTTAGCCAGGTTCTCTAATAATGGTTGAGGTGCTTAGTGACATAGCTGCTAGCAAGACTTCAGGTGTAGTTGGTCGTCTTTGGAGGAAGGAGATGTATTAGAGGATCTGTTGTAACTTCTGCTTCCTGTTCCCTTTCCAGGGTTCTGAAAGACAGGCAAAAACTGGAGCCACGGGGCAGCGGCTGAAGGAAGCCACTAAGATCAACCTCTCTCTTTCCACACTGGGGAATGTCATCTCTGCGCTGGTGGATGGCAAGAGCACCCATGTGCCCTACCGTAACTCCAAACTTACACGACTCCTTCAGGATTCTCTGGGAGGCAACTCCAAAACCATGATGGTAAGCTGAGAGATGCCCTTTCCAGAGCCAGCTATCAAGCTGTGTTTTCACAGGGATAGCATAGTGACTTTGCCAGGAGAACAACCTGGCATTTACCTCTTTAGTTCAGAGCTGTTTGCAGCTCAGAGAACTTATGTGTGTTTTTTCTTTTATCTTTGCATCTGTACCTATGAGGTTCTGAACGCAGTGCAAATGTACACATGTGCATGAAATGAAATAAAAGCTGTGCTTGGATAGCCAAAAGCAGCTTTGGTGTGGAAGCAGCAGGAAACCTTGGGAAAGAGTAGTGTGAGATTGACAGAGCTGGGGATGGGTCCCTGAAATTATTGTTCTGGGCTCTGATGCTCTGTCCTCCAGTAACTTGGTCCTCTGTGTGTCACAGTGTGCAAACATTGGTCCAGCAGACTACAACTACGATGAGACTATCAGCACTCTCAGGTATGCAAACCGAGCCAAGAACATCAAGAACAAGGCCAGGATTAATGAAGATCCCAAGGATGCTTTGCTCCGCCAGTTTCAAAAAGAAATTGAAGAGCTTAAGAAAAAACTGGAAGAAGGTGAGATTCCCCTTCCTCCTAGTGTTTCTCTCTACACCGGTGCTCACTGAGTGTGAATTCTTTGCTACTTGAGGATGTCACGGGAGCGGTACCCCGGGGTGGCAGGGCCTGGCGTTGCCCGCTAGGTGGCACTGGGCACCGGGGAGCCACAGCTCCTGGCCTGGCTTGGGGGTGTGCAGCAGGCTCTGGGCATGGCCTGGGGGGTTGAAATGTACTGTAACAAAGTCTAATGTTTTCCCTGTTTGAGGAGAAGGGATGTATGGGTTTTCTTGGGGGGAGGGGGTGTTGGAGAAAAATGAATCAAATCTGTGGAGCTAGAACTGGGGCTGACTTTCAGACAATGCATAGAGAAACAAGAAGCTTCTTAAGCTCTGTAACTTCATGGCCTTGTGGCGCTATTAGTCCATTGACATTGGAGGACCGTGCCAGAGGGATGCTTACTAAACAGCGCCCTTGGCTCACAGGGTGGAACAGTTGTAGCAGTAACCCCAACATGACTTGCTGTTTGGGGTCTGGGGTCTGCCCCATTCAGGAGAAGCAGGAGAAATGCTCAGTAACTTTTTCTTCAAGGGCTGGGAGCTTGGTGTACCTGTTTCATTGCTGGTGAGCTGAGGGTGTGTGCTTAAATTCTAGACTCTAAGCTGCAGAACAAACAGCCTCGTGCTTGCTAATGTTACTGAGAGGCTGGGATGTTAAATGTTGGATTCTATTCAATTTGGTTTCCAAACTTGGCCTGAAACATCTGAGCATCATGTTTGCAATGGCAGCAGTGATAAATGCTTGTGAAACTGGCTGTTTTCTCAATTAACAGCTATCTAGCTTCATGTATACAGGTGTCTGATTAAGTAGCAAGTCTGTGAGAACTTTTGCTCATCTGACCTTTCTCCTCCATCTGAGATGGAAGAGAAAGTACGGTGAGATCCTGCTAGGAAAATTTTGTAGCTTAATGCTTCAGCAGTGCAAGGATGCTGTATTTCCCATGAAAAGCACGCTTGAGCTTTAACATGTACACACTGACTTCACAGCATTAAATTGCTTATCTTGATTTTTTTTCCTTAAGTTTCCTGAGCTGTGACAAGCTGTCTGCTTAACAGTTAATGACTTCTGCAGATGGTTGTAAGCTGATGTTGGACACTGCTGGGTTTGGATGAATGCCGCTGTCACAGTAATAAGCTGATATGAGGTGAAGGGAAGCACATCAAAAAGCTCACACTTCTTTTCTAGGGGAAGAGATATCTGGTTCCGAGACCAGTGATTCTGAAGAGGAAGATGAAGATGACGATGGGGAGATTGGAGAGGATGGGGAAAAGCGGAAGAAACGGCGGGGTAAGGCAGTAGAGACTCCTGTCAGTGTCACCAATTTCCTCTTACCCAGGAGCTGGTGTCAGAAACTGTAGCCAAAGCCAGGCGGGAAAAAGTGGAGGTATAGAGCTGCACTACTGCCGCTGCAATTATCATGCCTCTCCTAGAAACGAAGCTATTTGGTGCCGTCTCTGTAGATGGACAGCTCTGAACCTGTCTACTATCTGCTTCCACTTGGGTAGTTGTGCTTGTGGTAGCATCCTCTTTTGTGGTGGCTCCCTGGTTGCCGCAAGGTGGCTGTGTATGGCTTGCGACTGGTGGTGTGGAACTTCCCCTGCTCAGAGAGGTGGGAGGCAGAAGGCACCAAAGATCAATTGGTAGGCAGATACAGTTTTTATAACCATGGGAATGGTTGGAGGGGAATTTTGGCTGTGGTTTAAGCAAAGGATTCATCTGTCTTACAGATGTTCAGTAACTGACTCTTCTGGTGTCCTATTTTATGTTGCTAGAGGAGAAAAACTTGACCTTTGGGTGTCTTTGTGCAAGCTGTAAAGCCAAATGGGAGCTGCACATCCCTTGTTTGGGAGCACTCTGGAAATCCCATGGTGAAGTTTGCTTTGTCTGACACCAGTGTTAAATTACCATGTTACAGCTAAACCTCTAAACTCCAAGGGACGTTGCTGCACCTGGAACTGCAGGTCACTGTGTCCTGTGGGATGCTGTAGTTTCCAGGAAGCTTGCTACACCCCTGGAACCTTTCTGATGTTTCTTCATGGGGAGTAGAGAAGTGAAGCCCAGTGCTACACCTCAACTTCTAGCTTGTCTAGTACAGTAACTTTGACACTCAAACTGCCTTCCTGTCCTGAAGCACCCAAATCTGTTTCAAAGATTCCTTTTAAAGTATTCCTGCCTTAGATGCACTCTCTTCACTTTGGTATCTGTCCAAATAGTCATAAATGACCTTTGTCATACCTTTGGCAATAGTTGTAACAACTTCATTTTTCACCTTTTGGTAACTTCTAGAAGCAAAAAGATTGACCGCTGTTTCCATCAAGAACCAAGTCCTGCCCAAATCTCCTCCCAGGAGGAGACCACCTTCAAAACGCTGCTTGAGAGGAGTAGGGGGCGAATAACTGTGACTAACTCAACCTCCAAACAAGCTACTCTAGTTAAGTTCCCAAAGTACAGATGTTGCTCAGCAGGAGCACGCACAGTAACTGTCCCTGTGCAAGCTGGTTTGGCCTTCCAGAGGGAAAAGTGCACATTGCCATGTACATCAGACTGGAAAGGACTCCTGGTCACTGAATCCTCTGCTACTGCAGATATCCACAGCCTTCTCCACTATGATCTGGTTTTCTGTGCTGTTGTTGCTTGAAATGGAAGCTGCCTTGGCATGTTTTAAGCTGTAGGCTGGTTAAGATGGGTTTTAACTGAAGCGTCTTTCGGAGCATGTTATTTTGTGCTGGGAAATGGTGGCTTTGCAAGCTGAGTCTGGGAGGGATCCTAGCAAATACTTCCTAATGGGAACTTGTGCCTTTTTGAACTAGGTTGCTGGCCCTTCTGGGTTTCTTTCCTTTAGAACTAACTTCCCATCTGCATGTTTCTTCCTCTCTGGGTTTTTCTGTGGGACGCATTTCTGTTTTCCAGGCAGTAGCAGCAGCAGTAGTTCAGACTCCACATGCTCTGTCATAGAGAAACCTCTGGATAAGTCCTTCACTAGTGAGTGGGAGCTCTTAAGTCCTTTAAGCTTTGGCCTTTCCATAATCTGCACACTCCATTTTGCAATGCTGCGCTCTTCCCTGCTGTGTCCATTGGAAAGATAAACCGGAACGTTTAACACTGCTAAAGCATGCCTTTCCTTTGCTGCTTCCACGCTTGAAACAGTTGTTCAATGTGCACATTGTTAGCCAGATGTGTGGAAGAATAGGAAGCAATTTAGTATGCTGCTAGAGCAAGATTTAAAGACAATGGAGAAATAATAGGTTAAAAACAGTTTGTAACTTCTGTGTTAAATGCTCCCCCTAAAATATCAGGAAAAAGTCTGAGCTAATTTTTTTTAATGGGAGTTGCTACAATATGAGTTCATAAAAAGGGCAGCTAGACAGGTGAAATGGGTTGTGCTATGTTGGACTCTGCCTTCTCAAAATTAATTTTGGAGAAAATGAATGGAGCAGTCAAGAGTCAAACAACGCAAGGTTTACACTTGCATAGAAAACATGGTAATGCTTGATTGGCTTTATTTTGGCAGATACTTAAAAAAAAAAATAATCAGTGATGGTGGTTGGGGTTTAATTGCCCCATGACATTAAGTTCTTGATCACTGTGGGATTTAGTTCGGAGGAACAAGGGATCTAGATTTTGTTCTAGCAGTGAGGAAAGTCTCATCTGCTCCTGGTCAGAGAGGGCTCTATGCCTTTATAAACCCTACAATCAGTGATGATTGAAGAAATAAATCACAATTCAAGACTTGGCTTGTAGGGACTTCACTCACTGTTGTGGTTATCCTGTGTAAATGCAGTCCACTCCTCTCCCTGTGTGGAGAGAGTCTGGGAAGTATTGCTATATAGTTCAATCACATCTACATTGTTATGTTAGTGGAAAGCATCAGCTCAGAGAAAGTGTGGTAGCAGGTTGAGAAGGATCACAACCTAAGGGAGACCTTCGGTGGGTCATATGATGGTAGGCTTGGAATCTGCTTGCTTCAGACTTGCTCTTTCAAAGCTTGCTTGAAACCTTAGTATTTTATTTGGGTGAGGACAGTTAATAGCAAACTGCTGGTGTGGCAGTGAGTGGATGAGTCCATCTCCAGCTAGTTTGGAGACAAGCAGCTCTTATGGAAGTTCCACTGGGCTTTTGGTGATTAGAGTAAGTGTGGCTATATGTGGTTTGGGATATTAACTGTCCTCAAGCGTGATCCTTTTGCATGTGATGTCTTTCATTATCCCTCTCCTGTCCTGCCTTTTTTTCTGCACTTGCTTGAAAAACCAAAACTGGCTATATACCTCTATGGAAGCATCAGTTACTGCAAATTAACCTACTAATACCCTGTGTAATTAAATGGAGAAATCTTGTGCTGAGACTCCCTGTGTGCAACTGTCATGTATCTTGCAAAGAATTGGCTTGGAAACTTGGTTAAAACTTAGAATGAGTCTTTTCTATGCTAATATTTTACAGGTAATATAATAGAATTGGCTATCTTGAGTGGGGGGCGGGGCAGGAAGCATTAAGTCTCTTCTCAAAGAAGAAATCTACCTGGTTTAATTGTTTCTTAGGGCATGATCTTTGCGGCAGGCTCATAATGTGACATTTAGATTCTGCATTGCATTGAATGGGCAGGAGAATGCAAGAGTGAGCTGAAGATTATCCTGGATATGCAAAGCACTCTGAAGTACAGAAACTTTCTCTGCTTTAGCATAAAATCATGATGCATTAATGTTTGCTCTAATGGAGAGTTTTTAGTGATGATTATCCTGTGTTTTCTACTCTAGAAACATGCATATAAAATTAAGGCTTGTTCTAATGCTGATGATCTTTGTCCAAAATGATCAAAGCAATAATATATTTTCTTTCCTCCTTTTTATGCATATGCTGCCTCTCTGCGATTTGCTTTCTACTTCCTCTTAATGCAAGATCAAGCAGGTTGGTGTAATTGATTTCCACCTCCTTATAATACAGTTGCAGAGCTTGTGAAAAGGTCTTACAGCTTGGTTTAGTTCACCTTTTTCCTCTAAACTGAGAATACATAGGGCTGTGTACTAATGGTAAGAAGCCTTTATCTGGTTTATCTCTTTTTATATGATGATCTCTGTATAGCACTTTTGGAAAGCTTCTTAATCAAAGACTAATTAGAGAGATTTTCACCGCAGATCCAGAAATAAGTGCTTATTATCTGATTCCAAAGGTCAGCAGATGGAAACTAAGACATTGTTTGCTGTAGTGCTGAAGTCCTTACATTGCCACAAAACTAGTTATATTTTCTTATGTGTATGAACAAACATGCATACAGATATGTACATGCGTGTTTACAAATACAGGGCAATTTGTCTGTCTGCCTAGAGGTTGTATATGTATATAAATAAAGGTGAATGCCACGAAGACCAGAGGGAAGGGGAAGCCTTTTATTGAACAACAACTTTCTTGAGCATGTTCTGACCATATATGTTGTGTCACTGTGAAACAGTCCTTTGGCAGTTGATGGCTTCTGTTAGTTTCTAGGCATCTGGGTTCTGTGGTCCTGGGGGGTTTTTTATGTCTGGAGAAGAGCAAAACAAAAAAATGAAGAATTTGCTTCTAGTGAATAAAGGGAGATTTAGGACTTGTGGGAGACTTGTGGATTTGAGGAAATGCACATACGCTGGGGGTGTGCTCTCACTAACCCGGGGTCTCTGTGCTCACCTGCCTGAGGCACTCTTGGGGTTACAATGAAAGTTGACTCAGGACTTGGAGTGATTTCCAAGAGCAGCAGCCTCACGCTTGGTCTCAAACACCTGCGATACTGAAACAAACCCTTTAGGGCCAGATAGTTCAGTGAGTTGCTCTGGCCGCTTCCTTTGTAACCCTCTATGAACTGTACCTGGTTTGCTGCAGTAGTAGTGGTGTTGTAAGGACACAGTTGATAAGTCACAGCAAACATCAGTACTTTCAGATCTATGGGTAGTTACTGTTAGATAGATCAAATACCATCAAGAAGTTTAGTTGTGTGTTTTTCATGGGGCTGTTCTGAATTTCTCTCATCCCTGCATTTTCATAGTAGTGTGTTCTTAAAATAGCTATGTGCTCACCTTGCAATAGGTAAGCCTGTAAGGAGGACAATGAACGAGGGGTGTGGTGGGGATGCTAATTTGAAATTTGAATATGTAACTTCTGGCAGCTTAGCTCTTGCAGCTGTAGGTCAAGGCAGTCTTCTGTTTTCCTTCATTTGGACTAATCTACGTGGTTAGAACATCTGAGTTTCCAGCTCGGACTTCTCTTCAGGTGGTGTTCCTTCTCCAGGGGTTCTTCATATATATATATTTTCTATTTGGGGGGTGTTTATGTTATAGTGTTAGTTACATAGCATTACTGCTCTGTGGGAACTGGTGACAACTGGTCAGTGTAAAATGGGATTTGAAATTCTGAGTTGTGCCCACCTTGGAGCTGACATTAAATTTCTGTTAAATGCAAGTATTGAATCTGCACTTGGAAAAAATGCTGTAATACAGAGGCTGTCTTATTTCTGTGAACTAATGTATTTTCCCTATCTCTTCCAAAGGCAAAAAGAAAGTTTCCCCTGATAAGATGGTAGAGATGCAAGCAAAGATTGAAGAGGAGAGAAAAGCTCTTGAAACTAAGCTTGATATGGAAGAAGAAGAAAGAAATAAAGCCAGAGCTGAACTGGAGAAGAGAGAAAAAGACTTGCTTAAAGCTCAGTGAGTACCCTGCTCTGAGCAGGTTGTGTGGGGTTTCCGTTCCTTAATCTGCAACTTAGTTATGGATATCTGGAGATGTGTGGTGAGGTGGCTGTGCAACTTCATATAAACTGAACATTGGCACTTGCTATTATCAAAGTGAAAGAGGAGCTTCTCTGCTTTCAGAGTTTAGAGCAGATGGAAGAGACAAGCTTTATCCTGTTGCCACTTTTTTCTTCTCTTAAGTTTATCTAGTTGTACAAGATAGCCTAGAAATACAAATGAATCCTCCGAACCCTTGAGACCTGTGAATAGCAGCAGTGCTGCCGTACTGCTTGGTCAGTGGGCAATAGCTGTGTAACAAGCCAGGTTTCCTGCAGCTCACTGTCACAAGCATGTTTTGGGCATAGGGGTTCTCCACTCTGGAGCTGAAAAGCTGCTGAGATCACACTGGCCCATGTAAATTGGACAGTCATGCTGTCAGGCGCTGTTCTGGCAGCAGCCAGCGTTCCTGGTTTGCATCTCAACTGCCCTGCCTTGATCTCTGTTCACTTGCTTCTATTTCTGCAGCTGCCTCTGGGCATCGCTGTACTGGTAGGGTCCTTGGGGGTGCCTTGAGTTTCCTGGTGACACCACTGCTGCCTTGCAGCCCCTCACCAGAGGGGACTTACAGCAGGAGAGACCTTTCTGCCACTTTGGTTTTGCTTGCGAGAAAGCAATGGGGACTGGAGCTCAGGGAGCTGCCTGCATTCACTTGCACTGCCTCACCCCCACTTCAACCCCTGGCAGCAAGACAAGTTTTTCCAGCCCTGTGAATGCTGCCTGGGCTGTAAAACTGAGCTGGACCTGCTGCCTTGCAAACACTGTAGGACAGGAAGCTTTACACTTATCTGTCTCGCTAGACAAGAGCACCAGTCCCTCTTGGAGAAACTGTCTGCATTGGAGAAGAAGGTGATTGTGGGAGGAGTGGACTTGCTGGCAAAAGCAGAAGAGCAAGAGAAGCTTCTAGAAGAATCAAATATGGAACTGGAAGAACGAAGAAAGAGAGCAGAACAGCTTCGCAAGGAGCTTGAGGAGAAGGAGGTGGGGTTATATGCTGTACCTGTCTGAAAATAGCAGTGGCAAGACACACCATGATACGTGCCTTGGCATTGCTCACGTGGATGAAATGGGACTCTACTCCGAAAGCACAGCAGAAGCTAACAGCTTTGGAGGCTGCACATTTGCAGTGCGATCGCTGCGGGTCTGAGCCAGCCTGGTTAAGCCAGGTCAATGTGCCCTTGGCAAATGCTTTGTTTTGTTCAAGTAGCTTCTCTTGTTTGTACTATTGCAGATTGTTTCTTTGATTATGTTAATGTGTGGATGTCTGTGCTAAATGTTGCACACAGCAAGAACGCTTGGACATCGAGGAGAAGTACACCAGCCTCCAGGAAGAAGCACAGGGGAAAACCAAAAAGCTGAAGAAAGTTTGGACCATGCTTATGGCTGCAAAATCGGAGGTTAGTGTCTGAAGTCCTCAGCCTGCGAGCACGTGAGGGACTGTAGCTGGGCAGCATAAGCTATCAGCTTTGTAACACTGGAAAAAGTGCCATATGTTTAGAAATGTCCTTCTGTGCTGTCCATTTGGCTCATGTAATTCAAAAAGATCTAATTAATCTGGTATCAGAGCTTCACAGGGGCATGTTGTAGAGCTTTTCTCCAAGCCACACTGAGGGGGGGGGGATAGAGAGGGGGACGCTGTGAGACTGAGATATTCAGAACTTGAAGGAAAACAAAGGTGGTTTGCTGGCAGCCCAATCTCCTGCTTTGCAGTAGCCCAGATGCTCCTCTGCTCTTAGCTGTCTGTCCTTTCTGCCTGTTGCCCTCATTGTCTCTTCCTCAGTCACACTGGATCAATGGGTCTTCTGGCAAGTATCTAGAGTTCCTGCTTCATAAAAAGAGCATTTTGTCCTTGGGATCAGAGATTTTCCTTGAAATCTTGCCAGGAATATAACTTCTCTGCACACTCTTCATCTGCTCTTAGCTGGTGCAGAGCTTGGATTGGCAGAAGGCCAGTTTCGTTTTCATGACTCTGAGAACTTAATGCTATTTTCAGCTATCTCTGAGCTGGAAGGTTTCAGAGGGTTTATTCAGAGATAAATATTCTAGTGCTTATAACCAGAGTTTGCTTTCGTTTCCCAAAAACCTGGTATAAGCAGAAGGCTGTTCTTTTTTAGGCTGTTATGTCTTAAACGAGCTCTGATGCCTCTCAAATGCCTGGTTTGTCTTCAGATGGCAGATCTGCAACAAGAGCATCAGAGAGAGATTGAAGGATTATTAGAGAATATTCGGCAGCTGAGCAGGGAACTTCGTCTTCAGATGCTTATCATAGACAACTTCATTCCTCAGGACTACCAGGTAAAGACAAAGAACCTAAGCCTGTGACATAGGGCTGTGCTAGGCACACTGAGCTCTCTAGCTCTTCTGTCCAACAAATGGAATGAGTTGGCCTCTTCCCCCTTTGTGAGGTATTGATGGTTAACTGATTGACACTTGTCTGCTAAGTTGTAGGGCACATGGGTTGGTGCGTGTTGCTGTGAGCCTTTGTTTGCTGTGGCTTGGCTGAGCAGGCCCAACTTGGTTGCGTTCATGTGTTTGTGTCACTATCTGGATTGTTAGAACCAGGTGATGTTAAAGTAGGAAAAGATGCTTTTGTCAAGCAACTCTTGTAACCTGGTGGACTTCTGCTTGAAGTCCAATTCCATGGTTGTGGAATCTGTTTTATGGAAGCAGTGTATGATGTGGTGGGGGTTGTAAGCAAAGGGATATACTAATCTCAGGTCTCTGGCAGCATGTTTTCCTAACGGTTTAAAAAATCAAATCACATTCACCATGTATATAACTGGTGTATTCACTGTGTGCCCATGCTCTGGGTCTGTTCAAAACCTTTTTTCCACTGTGCTTGAAGTTGTGCTTGCGAATGTCTGATATTAGTACAAAGTAGTGAGACTGAACTTGGAACTCTTCACTTGTTTTCTTGGTGACCCCAATGTTCAGAAAATTAATGATAAACTTAAATATGATGCACACTATTTAATAGAAAATGGAAAAGCTATTTCCCTTAATATTTTGGGGTTTTTTCCATATCACAATGTGTTTATTGCTATCCTGATGGCATAATGAGAAACCCATGCTTTAGTGGGAACTCCAGTGCATACAATTTGGGAGTGGTATTTTTCTCTTCTGTAGTCCTCAGAGTGTAAATAGGGGGTTTTGAACATGGTATGGCTGTCCTGATAAAAACAACTTGGAATTGTCAAGACCTGTTTTTAAGCAGTTTGCCCAGGCCTTTAGGGATGTATGTTCTAGAAAATGCATCTGGAGTGTAGATTGTGCAAGTCTCTAACAATTACTGTTCTAATTTTTTTTCTAGGAAATGATTGAAAACTACGTTCACTGGAACGAAGATATCGGAGAATGGCAGCTGGTAAGCTAGCTGACTGGCTCATGTACAAGCTAATGTTAGCATGAGCTCCTGAAGAGTTTAATTGAGCCCACAATAAACTGATAAAGCTGTAGTCAGTTTTACTGTGCACAGTAGATTTTACTAACAGACCTTTCTTTCTTTAAGAAATGTGTTGCATATACAGGAAACAACATGAGGAAACAGACTCCTGTCCTGGATAAAAAAGAAAAAGATGTGAGTGACTCTTTATAACCTTGTATTGAACTGCATAGGTCTAAGTTCTGCTGCCTGTGCCTACTGCTACACTGTTACAGGGAAACTGTCCAATTTTAGTTTTCTCTTTTGAAGAGATGAGTCTTTCTAATACTACAAAAGCACCATTGATCAGTGTATAAAATGATTCTGAATTTTTTTGTGTTGTGGGTTTTTGGTTTTTTAGCCCTTTGAAGTGGACCTTTCCCATGTTTACTTAGCTTACACTGAAGAAAGCTTGAGGCAATCTCTGATGAAGCTGGAGAGGCCGAGGACTTCAAAAGGAAGATCCAGGCCCAAGACGGGTAGAAGGTGAAGAACTTTGGAGTATCTATATGTAATGGGGGATTTACCCAGGGGAAGGCTTAAGTTTGTGCATGCAAACTTACCATAAGTCCTCAAACATTTGCTTAATGAGAAGACAAAATGCTAAGTTTTTGCACGGTATAAAGTTTTCTGGTGCCAAGAACCAAGACAGAACCAAGATGAAATCTCTTTACTGTGGTAAAATCTTGTCCAGAAAGACTTGTCTGGGGATTTTTGATACCCTTTTGCTGCATTCCACTCTTCTGGCTTCTTGCTTTGTTTTACTGTGTTCTGTGGTTTAGTTTAACATCTGACACATCGACAGTACATATTACTGGAAAGTAATGTGCTGTTGGGGGAGATTTCAGCATGGTTTTCTTGGTTATGTTTGGTTGGTTTTAACAAATGCTTGTGGAAGAGTAAGACTGTGTAGTTTTGACTTGAAATGTGGCTGGTCCCTGTCTTTCCTAGACAGCATAATGATGTCTGTATGGTGTTATTTTTCCCTTTCCTTTCTGCTCTCCAAACAGAAAACGTTCGGCAAAGCCAGGAGCCGTCATTGACTCTCTGCTGCAGTAGGTGTGACCTGTTCAGAATTGCTGTAAAAATCAGTGAATGTGTAAGATTTGGTCAGAATATGGAACTTGAGAGGCACAGTTTGACATGGCTATAAAATCCATGCCTTGCTGGTATGGAGCTTTATTTTAAAAAAATGTATTTCTCCTTAGTTGCCCGTATATTGTATGTTATATTAACATAATATTAAACAGGTATATATGATGGTTGTGAAATTCCATGTGTTAAATGTGTTGTGCAGGAAAAATTGTTGGCAATCCTTGTTGAAATGTATAGAAAATAAGGGTTCTAGATGTGTGTTTAACTGCTAGACATGTTAGCTCAAAAAGGTTGAAATCCTAAAATTTAAGGCTGGTAAATCTGATTTATGCCATGCTTTGCACATAACTGGCAGCTTTCACTGTTGTCCTCTGTTGCACTGATCTGTGTTTGAATGTGGTTGCTGCAAACCTTTGAACTAAGAGCATCAACCCCTTTTATTTAAATATTCCTCACTGTGGCTATTAACCTGATCGTATTGTGTATTGAATACACGCTCCTCTTCCCTTTGTTTGCTGTCTTGCTGTACAAAGAAAGTAGTTGCGTAGAGGAAACATGAACTACAAAAGTCTGAGACTTCTGGGAAAGGGACCATATTCTGTTTTAAGTGCAACAGAAAACAAGTGTGTCACAGTAGTGCTTTCATTTTTGTCCATAGTGTGTGATCCGCTGGCACTGTGGAGTGTGAGACCTTTGCAAAGGCAAAAGAAAGCTTTTTCCTCCTTTTAAGGCTGTGTTGCAGCATTGCTTTGGCTGCTTTTCATGCTTCTGAGCTGGATTTTTTTAAAATATATGTGAATTGTTCTGTAATCTGAACAGCAGAGATTATTTAAGGGGATGCTGTAATACTAGGACTTAACTTCAGCCTTGGGACGGTGAGCATTATGGCTCCATTTTCTCATCCCTGGCTACAAGGGCGCCAGACCAGTGCTCCAAACAGAGGGTGAATTTGACTCTGCTCTATTAAAACAAGCATGAATTGCCCAATTTTCCCAGAGCAATAACATTCCCTGAAATAGCTGATGCTGTTTGTGTTCCTGTGTAGACTGTATCATGTCAGGTACCTGGCTATGCTCTGATGAGAGGGAAAAAAAATCTGGTCTCTGATAATAACCCTTTATTTGTGGTGGCTGCTCTTTTTATTTGATATTATGCTGCTAATAGACACATATCACTTTAATACATTGCTTTTGTGTCACAGAGAAAATGTGTCGCCTTTGGATTGTGCGTGCTTTATAACTCATGCTGGAGCACATCAGCTGCAGGCATCCTAACAGTTCCATCCCAGGGTGGTGGTGATTAGCTGTAACTTCCATGTAATCATAGTGGTACCTAGAGATTTAAAAAGCTGTGATTACTAATAAGAGAAATGGAATCCTTAAGCATGACAGAAGGAACAAGACAGCTCCTTAGGTGTCCTGAGTTCTTGCTAGTAGCCATGTTTGCAGTTACCACAATGTTCTTGTGAAGTCCTTAAGAGTAGCTGGAAGCTGATATCCCTTTCTTACTGTTGTGATGTTTAACTGTGTGTACCTTGTGGCTCTAACATCTGTAATAGTTAAAACTGGTCTTGTAAGGGCTTATTTTGCCCTGGAGATATATTCAATTGATCTAAATGAGTTGTAAGCTTTCCCTGCTTCTTAAAATGTGTTTTTTCAGGATCATGACCTAGGAGAGGGACATACTGCCCTCTGTTTTGGGGGAAGCAGGGGAGGGAGCATCACCCAAGTCCATGCAAGATCTGGTTTTGTCACCTAAGTTCATACAACATACAAACACTGGCATTTGTTTTCTCTAGCCTAGCACTTAGATCCACAAAAATTTTGAGTATTTACCTCCTAAGCTGTAGTTGGTTTAGCTCTTGAAGAGCTGACCTTACTTTGAGTGCGCTTGGATAATGTTGGGTATCTTGTGTTATGTACTTCTCATCAAACATGACAGACTGGAAATGGCTTAAACGCTGTTTTGTCTTAGGCCTTGCGTCAGTTCTCAGTCTGAGCAGATAGATGGATAGTTTTGGTCTGTGCCAGTCTCAGAACCAGGGATAACGGTTGTGTTTCCCTTTTTGCGTTATGTTGTCTTGTGCTAAGATTTCTTGAATGATCTGCTTAAGGGAGTTTCTCCTGAACTCTGCTTTCAAAGAAAACATCTAAAAGTCTCTTACCTGACGGACGTCAGTGGCTTAAAGGTACCACTGTGGACCATAACACTGCATTTAAAATATTTACAACTTAACTATAAAGTTATATGCTTCATGATTTAATTAATGTTCCAGTCCTGCTGCTGAAAACAATAGTACTCTACATATTTAAGTGAGCCTTGGAGCAGAGAAGACAATAAATAATTGCTTGCACACTTTTGTAATTGGCAGATTGGAGAGACTGGTTGTAATCTCCTGTTACAGGGGCTTGGAAAACAAATTATTGGCTCTTAAAAGAGGACTTTAAGTGGAATGCTATCACAGTCATGCTGATCTGTCATCTTGGCTTACCTTTTGACTGATGTGTTTTGTTGAAGTTTTGGGAACTTTCTTTTAAAACCAGGGAGGCTGGCTTGCAGGTTTACCATACGGGCCCTCTCCTTCCCCCTGGACAATCTGTGAATGTCCAAAGGGTCTGTAACATGCTTTGAGGAAGGGGTTTGGTTTGTGTGGGATTTTTTAAGAGCTTAATAGGGCCATTCTCATCCCAGGTCATTATGTGCTCTATAGTATTTATCAAAAATCATATTACCATAATATATAGTGTGTGTATGTGCTCGTATTTGCATCGTGCTACCAGAAGAGTCCCCTAATTCAAGAACATCGACTTAACACTGAGGTTTTTGATGCTTTATGTTATTTAATGTTGTGTTAAATTAATTATTTCATATTAAAGAAAGGATCAGGAACAAGTTAAGAGGAGGGGAAAATGGTCCTTAGTGCCTTTCACTGACTTACACTGTCTGCACATGTCCAGCTTTTGCCTCTCTCAACAGTTCTGCTTAGCCAGTCCTGTATATAGGAAAAACTGCTAGTCTGTATAATTTGTCTTCGTATTTATTGGTTTTCTAACTCTGTTTATTTCTGATTATTCTTTGTTTTATGATTAAACTTTATTCATTACACTGTATATATCAGTATTGTGTCCCTGGAGCATGTTCATACCATGAAATAAAATTCTCAATTCCTAGTTCCACTTCTGTGCATGTCTTTCAAATAACTTTATTCTTACAGCATCTTTCTAACTCTGAGTCAGGTTTGTCAGGAAGGGTAGCTAAAATAGCCTGTGTGGCTCTGATGTACAGCACTTACTGGAGAAGGCAGAGCAGTGAGTTTGGGTTGCATGGGGACCCCACTGCCAAGCCCCAGGGCAGTGGGCAACCAGCTCCTGTGGAAGAGGTAGACGGGGCAGAACAAGAGGACACTTTGTGAGGCTCTGGAGGAGATCGGTGGGATGTGCCCCAAGGAGCTGATGGGCCCCTTGTTCAAGCCTGTCCTCTGCCAGGGTTGTCCTGAACTGCCCTGAACGAGGCAGTGCTGCCTGTGCTCTACCTCTTTGTGCCCTCGTGTGCTGCATCGTTGGTACAGCTGCTGGGGAGAAGGCTTCTTGCACTGTCCCGGTTTTCAGTGGCCTCATGCGATGTGGCAAGCCTGTTGCGTCCTGTATTTTTGCAGATAGTATGAATTTACCTGTGGTAATGGGAAATCTTCAGCTCTGTTTCCTTTGCTGCACAAACTGTATGGGTCTGCAGTGCATTTCTTCCTCTGGAAGACACTTCACCCTGCTTATGCAGTAGGTAATAGGTTTTTTTGTGGTCTGCAAACTTTGCAGCTCCCCTGAGTACTGTGACTCAGTTGATGCATGAACCAAACCTTGTACAGTCCTGGGACTTTCCAAAGTGCTCTCCCACGCTGTGCCAAAGTAAGCTGCAAAATGGCAGACACCTAAATACCTGCAAGACTCCAGTCCCCTGGTGCTAGAGAAAGACTTTAACCACCACCCAGGTCTGCTGCAGGCTGGAGTCATCCCTTCAGCGGTGCAGTTCTGCTTCCCCCTTGCTGTTTCTTTCACTGCTGTTGCCACTGGAGGCTTTTTACTCCTGGCCCACAACGGGCTCCACCGGATTGCAGCGTGAGGGGAGAACCGAGGGGCTGCTTGGCGAAGGAGCTGCTATCTCCCCTTTCAGCTCTAGCACACGCTTCTGAAGGCATGGCTATTTGTGGCTGGTCTTTTCCACTCCAGTTTCTCCTGGGCTTTTTCCTCTGCTTAGAGCTGCTTTCCTCATGTTGGTACAAGTCTGAGCCCCGCAGCAGAACGTGTTCTTTGTTTTGGCAATGCTTGCCAGCACCAGCCTTGTGCCAATGGACTTTGGACTCTTACTTGCTGCAGCCTCATGCATTCCTGGCAACTTAGATGGCAAAGTAACAGAAACTGCTTCTGACTTTGTGGGTTTAAACCCCCTTATTCCTAAAGCCCCAGTTCCATTTAGGAACCTGTCACTGCTCAGCTCTCCGCCCCTCCATGCCCTGGTTTCCAACCTGGTCACAGACTTGTGTGGATAGAAAATGTACACCCATTCTGCCCTGCAGTTTCCAGCCGTTGCTTCTGCACAGGCCTTGGTGCTGTGTCCTGGCCCTGGGCATGTTTCTGGCCAAGAAACATCTTATGCAATGCCAGCAACTTTATTCCAAAAATACATTTATTTTAAAAATTATTATAAATAATCTTTTAAAGATACAGTGTCATAGTTTAAAAACAAAAAAAACCCTCAAACTGTGGTCTTTCCTTGTCAAACTTCAGTCTTTAACTAATCGTTGGAGGACTCTGCGTAAGTTGACCAGGAAATCTCTCAGTGACGTAGTGTTGCCTGCTGCCACAGGACACGGTGCCTGTAATAGGAAAAAACGACCCTTTGAACGCTTGCTGGGGGAGGGATCTGGTGCTGCAGCCTGGTCTTGGCCGCTCATGGTGCTGCGGGAGGGGACGGGGTGAAAGCAGAAACGGTGACTGAGGGGAAGCCGGCCGTGCGGGAAGCTCGCAGGCTGAGGGCTGTACGGCCCCGGCGGGGCTGGGGGAGAGCTGAGCCTTGCCTTACCTTGTGGACGGCGCTCTTCCTGCGGACGAGTTGCAGCAAGTTGACAGAAATGCCCTTCAGGTAGCTGTGGCAGATCCCACTCTCCCAAGCGATTGTGGTGGCTTTGCATAAGATCTCCGTCTCATTGTCATGCTGGAAAAAGACAGGTGGCTTTTTCAGAAACCCTTTTGTACAGTCACAGCTCCATTAGCAGCAGATTAAAACAGCCCAAATAATACATTTCTGTTCTAAAGGGCAGGTGCAAAGCACAGCTCGAGATGTCGAAGCCTCCCAGCCATGTGTGTGCACACGTGGGTCTGTTCCTGTCCCTGGCGAGGAGGGTGCCGTCAGCCGCTGGCGAGAAGTCACGGCAGGGTTTGGCATGGTGCTCCTGCTGCAGGCGTGAACGCGGGACCCCGTGCCAGGGAATGGAGCTGGTTTGGGGGCGCAGAGGCTCTATAGGAATAACAAAAGCCCCTGGGAAGAGGCTGCCTCCGTGGGCTGCTTTGCATAAAGTCCCGTAGCGGAGAGACGTGGAAGATGAGGAGCCAACAAGCGAAGTGCTGGTGGTAATAAGAAAACTAGTCCGTTGTCTTCCCCGGGGCACGTTCCCAATGCAGCAGCACAGGCAGGGTGCTGAGAGCTCTGCCTGCTCAGGTCTCCGCAGCTTTCACCCAAATGGCAGCATCGAATAAGGGACCAGCCCATCCCCGTCAGCACGGCTGGTCTGCAGGCGTTGGGTCGTGAGGCATCCCGGGTGTCTCTTCTCGCTCCCAGGGCTGGTTCCTGCGGCAGGAGGGGTGCG